TGTGTGTGTGTGTGTGTGTGTGTGTGTGTGTGTGTGTGTGTGTATGTATACACACACACACACATACAGCCTCTACAGAGTCAGTTAAAGCTGTGTTAGATAAATGGCATCTGTCACACTGCTGGTAGTTCTCAGACTGGAAGTTTTGTTTAAGTCCATGTCACTGTGTACACCTGAGGCTTGTCGCAGGATGCTGTAAGATCCTTATACTTAGTAAGGTCATTATCCGTAAGACAGACTGACACAGCTCTCACTTCACCCTTGCTTCCTTGTGGCAAGGGCAGCTGCAATCTGATTACCTGAACATAATCCCTCCTGTGACACAATTCATTAGCTCTAATCGTCATTGCTTTCTTTAGAATCAGAGAAATTCAAGTGTGCACTAGTTAACTCATAACCTGCAAGCAACTCTATCCTGTGGCTCAGAAGTTACAAGCAGGTGTTCTGACCGCTATTGAATCCCTCCTGCCACAGAAATGAGGAGCCGAGATGTTGAAATGACATTTCCTAAATGTAGCGTCAAAGGACAAAATCCAATAGATATGACAGCATAACTAGTAGAAAAAGAGAAATTTCTAAGAGAGAGAGACAGAGAGAGAGAGAGAGAGACACAGAGAGAGAGAGAGACAGAGAGAGAGAGAGAGACAGAGAGAGAGAGAGAGAGAGAGAGAGAGAGAGAGAGAGAGAGAGAGAACTAAAAAAAACAAAATATAATGATTTTCAGGCAACAATAAGTATAGTTTGTTTTCTAGGAAGAAAAAAATGGAGATCTTGGTAAAACTCATATAACAAGCAGTTTCCAAAGTTGTTGGAATCTGTTACTCAACCCAGGGCACGGGGTAAGCCATCATGAGGTGTGACTTACAGCATACTTGAAATGGAATTTTTCAAGATTCTCTTGACACACATATTCTGTGGACATGCATCTTTGGGTCTGGCAACGTTCTCCCACATGCAACACCAAGGCTTTGAAGAATAGTGCACAACTCTTCTCTGAAGCCCTCTCATGGCTTCTTAGCTTTGAAACAAACTGTGGCCCTACTACTAGGCTTCTGAAACAAATGGTTTAACATTTTAATTTGACAAATTTTAAGACACGGGGTAGAACTGTTTGAAAACCATAAGCTAAGCAAGTTGGGAGGGGGGTGCTTAGGAGGTCTTTAGGCTCCTTGGCAGTGGTGTTCATTCATGAAAAAGATGCGCTCTGCCCTTGCTTATATAAAAATGCAACTCATTTTGAGAAACTGTAGTTCTTTGAAGTACTGGTCCTCTCCAGTTAGCCAGCACCTACTTGCAGAAGTGGTTGCTCCACAGAGAGCAAAGGCTTCATCATAGAGCACTGTGATGATCTTGAAAACATTGGTGAGTGTATTGAGCCTTCAGGTGATAGGAAAAGGAAACTGGCTTTGACCCTCAGAAATGTGTAAGAAACTTGTTTATCCAGAACTCTCATGCCATAAAAATCAGCATGGCGTCAGGTTAGGAGCACACTGGCATTCCCTATTATCCTTCTCTACCAGTCACATTGGGATCAGAGGGCTGACAGGTCTCTAAAGCTGAGAGCAAAGCGGCCACGATCAGATCATATCCAAGCAAAGCAAGACCTCACAGCTACCACCCCAAGCCCGAAAAACTTACACATTGGGTCCTCCAACATCATGCATGACCCAGATCTCAATTCTTGTGACTTTATCCTTTTGTAAGTATGGGATTTCAAAATCTGCAAAAAACCTGGGAGACAGGGAGGACATTTATTTTTATCTGTTCTTCCATGGTACTGAGTCTGTACATGCTAGGCAAGCTCTCTGACATTGAGCCCTGTCTTCAGCCTAGGACAACATTTCTCCAAGTCTTAACACAATGCAGTAACTAATCCATTTTGGCCATTAGTTTATTTATACATTTAAGTTTTGAAAAGTTTCCAGGAAATCCAGTTGTGGTGATTCATGCCTTTAAACCCAATACTCAGGAAGTAGAGGTAGGTAGATTTCTTTGAGTTTAAGGCCAGTCTGGTTTACATAATGAATTCCAGAACAGTTGGGGCTATCAGAGAGACCCTGTCTACCCTGAAAAGAGTTTCTAGGGTTCGTTTTACATTTTGTGTGCATGCACATGTTTATGTGTATGAGGGTGCACATTTGTGTGTGTTTGAGCATATGTAAACCGGAAAACAAAATTGGGCACTGTCTAGTCTCTTATAGTGGCCTGGAACTCACTTAGTAGGCTAGGCTGGCTGGGATAGTGAGCCCCAGACATCACTTGCCTCTGCCATCCCAGCACTTGGATTACAAATGTGCTTACACCACTCCCAGATATTTCACTTGAGTTCTGGGGATCAAACGGAGGTCCCGTGTTTGCACAGCAAGCACTACCTACTGACCTATGCCTCCAGTAACTCTTCTTACCGTCTACACTTGGACTTGCTGGTGTATTGGTCTGCTCTTAACAGTTTAACTGTATAGATATGGCTCTGATCAACACCTTGTTCAACTGTTTTACTTACTTTACCTCGCTGTACAAAAGCAAGCATCAAATTGGGTCTGAGTTGCTTCTCTAGCCTTTAGTTTGGTGTCATCTGTGGTGTCCTCTGGCGTTCTTACCCTTTCGTGGGATAGGCTCCTTTGGGTTCTGAGCCATTCAACATGACATTGATCACCCCTGAACTGTCCCTTGAATACTGCAAGAAGAAAGACACCTTTGAGAAAATGAAGGCACATCGTTTTTGTGCTTAAAACACAGCTTTTTTTTTTTTTTAATTGGCAATTTTCAATAGAGGACAGCTTAGTATTTCACATGTCTAGTAGAGATGCAGACTGGTTTATCATAGAAACAAATCACCTTTAAAGTTCCCTATAGGTAGACTCAGTAATTCCATGTCAGATAATCTGAGGACATGATATAGAATACACACCATCATGTCTGCTAGAATAAACTAGCCTAGTGTGATATAACAAATAGCCTTGCCATTGCAGTGGTGTCACACAGGACTCACTTTATGTTCCCACTGAACATTCGCCACAGGATCCTGGTGCTTTGGCACTTTGAGTCCTCAGTATGAGGAAGCCTCCACACCTGCAAAGTTGTTAACTGCCAGGAAGGGAGAAGGGGCCTACAAGTCACACACGACACTCCCACTCACAGCCCATTGGCCAATAGATGTCTCATGTAAATAACCACCCAGAGCAGAGCACAAGCCACAGGTGCAGATGTCTGGAAAACAGTACAAAGCCCCACCACAAGCACTGCATGCACACATGTGCAGAGGGACACAGCTTACAAGATCAAAACATACTCACCAGCTCGAAACAGCAAGGAAATGGTGCACAGTTCCCACTAGGTACCAACGTAGCATTAAACTCTGAGTTATTAATGTGCCACCAGTATGAAGCTACAAAGGACTTGCACTATCATAGGACGTGCTTACATTCAAAGAGGAGTGCAAGATTAGACGGACAGAAGATGAGCTTCCCTACAACATTATGACACGAGGCTGAGGGTGTGGCTCAGGCGTGCTAGCATGCACAAGGCCGGGGGTTCAGTCTTTGGTATCATTATATAGACAAACAGATTAATAAGCGGATATCTGGGTGGTCTTGTTCCCCAGGTAGTTGGTGGTGACTTCCTGTCATTGAGTCTCACAGGACAAGTTTAATCACTAATGAAATGACACCTGATATCTCTGCTCCAAAGCAGAGACACATTTTGTGCCCATTGCCTCCAGTTGCTTTCCCCTAGTCCTAAAAGTAGGAGTTTAAGTCTTCAGATGCTGAATTCTGACAACCTCTGTGTTAAGGGGGTAGCATTTGGTGGCAGGAAGATGGGGGAATCTCATTTGTCTTTCTTCAACTTGCCATTTTCTACCACAAGCTGTGGTTGCATTGACAATGGGAAAACATTGAAAAGGGCCTGGGTATAACGTGGACTGTAGGTATAGAAAGAACTGGTTGAAAGTCCAGTCTCTGAAGTTAAAAAGCCTGTTTTCGAATCCTGGTTCACCAACTTATGACAATCTTGACCTTAGGGAAATCTTTTTGGCCTCTTTGTAATTAATTTTCCAAGTCTTAACAGTTACCTCTGAGGATTTCTATAAAAAAAAAAAATGAAAGGTTTAAACATTTCAGCCTGGGAGATGTAGCTCATGATAGGATCTTGCTTGATGTGTGCGATAAAGAAACTAACTTGGACTCCCAGGACCACAGACAACAACAACATTTCTTGACTACTTATAAGGTTCAAGCCCTCTTGTTGCTATACTGTATTAGTTTTGCTTTTACTTCAACTATCTAGTGTACTCTTGTACTAGTATATTTCTTATGCTGGTATAAGGGGTTAAAAATTAGAGGCATTGACACTATTTTCCCACACTAGCCGCCAGTTGAGGAACACACCTTAAAGTCAGGAAGATTTATAGTGGCCTGTGTTACAGTTCTTTTATAGATAGTGTTAATATGACCCCTCTTTAGAGTTGTTAAGCTTTCCAGTCTCCAATAAGAGTCTTTGGCAGCTGACTGGAGCCTGTATTTACAGATGAAGATCTCCCTCCAAAAGGGGGAACAAGCACGGGTCCCATGGGAGCTGGCGGGAGTACAAAAAGTCCCCAGCATGAGGTCCTGTGCTTACAGGAAGTTCTTTGCGTGGAAGGTTTGATCAAAGTCCTTGCCCCTATCAGTGGCCTCACTGGACACCTGGAGAGCAAAGTAGACAAGGGGAGGCGAAGACAGATCACCTCTGAAAGGGGAGGGGTAGAAGTCTCCCAGCCTCTACCTGCTCCTCGATCAGCACAATCGACATTCAACCATCAGCACTGAGCTAAGGACTTAACCCTCCTAGTTTCCAATCTTTATTCCAATACTCAAGGCAGAGACTGTAAGCTACAAACGATGTCATTTTATAGCCACTGGCAGCTCCTGTGAACTCTGAGGACAATAGCCTCGGAGACACAGACAGACATGTCTTAGGAAAACTTCCGTGGCTCCAGCTTTTTGGTAGCCCATCAGTTCTTCTCCCATTAATGCTACTCTGTGGACACTTCTAACACCCACAGTGAGGTCTCCAGTTTCCCAGGCTCTCCTGTAAAGTCGAGGTTATACAACTTTTCACAGCACTAAGAATGAAAATGGCTTTGAACCACTAAACATGGCCATGGTGTGTCAGGGGATGCTAACAGTGCCTTAGCCCCGGGTACAGCTAATGTCTGCCAAACATTTCTCTCTGCACCAGCTACTGCAGTGAGTATTTTGTCTTCGTCAAACCTCACAACTTCGTGGAGCAGAGAGAAGAGTCAGAGTAATCATTACAGTAGAAAGGAAGATACAGAGAAGTCAGGTAAAGGCCTGGGGTTCGTTCACAGATTCCACACATGCTCAGCACTCACTCACCCATCCTAGGATTACCTGCATGGATGCACCTTTCCAGTAGGAGTCCACAGCATTGTTTTCACAGTCTTCTGATGTGGGGCAAGACTGGTAATCAAGTCCTAGGAGAAAAGTACACAGACGCACTTCGTATTGGAGATGTATTCCTTTCATGTATTTGCTAATTCCATATTTGGCAATTACATTGAAAAATGTATATGGTACATTTACCCTCCCTTAGCCTCAGTTTCCCCCCTCTGGAAAATAAAGACAGAAAGGGAGTCCTGCTGGATTGGAACCACAGGCTCTGAGGTCAGACTGTGAAGCTACACAGTTTCTTGGCTATACATTCCTAAGCAGCTCCCTTAATCATGCGTGCCTCAGCTTCCACGTCTGCCAAAATAGGACTATGATAGGATCGTAGTGGATAATGTGTGGGCTCTAGCCTTAATGTGTCTGAAATGCTTGTAATAGCGTGCAGCAAAGGTTAGGCACACCCTACTCATTGTGGTTCTTATCCGTTACTATAGATGCCACCTACTTGGGAGGATTTGGGAAGGATTAAATGAGATGAACATTTATGAAGACACCCAGAACCCAGAAGATAAATCCACAGACTGAGGAGCTTTGATGTTTGCCAAAGTCTTACCAGAGGCATTTTCCTGTCGACACCAGCTCAAGAAATCGCCAACCTTGCCATACAGAACGTCGCAGAGGGGCATAAGGCGGCGGGTGTTCTCTGAATAGCTCATGACGAGTAGGTGGTTATTTTCCCAGAACAGTGACTGATGAGAAACAACCAAGAGTTAAGATACAAAATAAAATGAAGGCACATTGATTGCAGTGTCATCAAGATAAGTCAGTAGCCCTTCCTCAGGGAATTCGGACCTACCGTAGGCCTGCTGCCTTCTCTTTCCTTGTTGCTTTGGTGCATTTGAAGAGTGTCACCTCTGTCCTTCCAGACATTATGTAGATCAGTGCTTCTCAACCTCCCTAATGCTTCAACCCTTTCATGCAGTTCCTCATGCTGTGGTAACCCCCCAACCGTAAAACAATTTTTATTGCTGCTTCATAACTGTCATTTTCCTACTGTTATTAATTGTACTATAATTTTTTTTTTGGAGATAGAAGTTTGCCAAAGGAGTTCCACAGGTTGAGAACCACAGACTTAGATGATGACATATTTCCCCTGTAGTATAAAATGTGTGCACCATTGGTAAGAAACTTGCATTAGGAATGATTAAGGGACCAGGGCTTGAAGCCTGCCTCCATCCCATGCTAGATGGATCATCTTCATCAAGGCATTTATGTCTTTCTGTGCCTCAGTTTCTATATGAGGAAAATGAGAAGCAGAAGAAACCCTAGGCCTTGTTCCGTAGCTCTGATAGGAAGGTATGCAATTGCACAATGTCCTTCTTGGACTGTACAGTGCTCAAAACACCTACGTCTTCACCACACACCTGGCACCTTCCAGGACAAATAGTGTCGTCACAATGCGCGTATAACAACATTCCCGGTCACTGTCTCATCTGGTCCTCAGCAGCCCAGTTTCTTTGTAGACTGGAAGGGTTACAAGAACTGTTTTTTGTTTTTCTGTTTGTTTGTTTTTTTGTTTTTGTTTGTTTGTTTTTTAATGTAGGATCCTTAACCCTTAATGTAATACCAGGAACACAGAAGAATTCCAGTAAGTTATTTACTGAGTTCATCAACTAGCTCACTAAACCTGTGAGAGATGTAACATTTTAAATTATGCTTCTGCTTTTTACCAATAAAGAAGTAGGAAGAAAAAAAGGCAGCATAGATGTAAAAATTACTCTTTTGTCCACAGCTGAGGCATCGGTCCTTACCTTGTCCCTAGGAATCGAGTGCCTAGAGAGGTTAATGAAGAGATCATAGTCTGAGGGGAGCACAGAGCAGGGATCCTTGTCCAGCACCACCTTGAAGGCCTCCCAGATGGCTGTGCAATTTTTGTCCCTGTGTAAAAGCGTCAGTCAGGACTGGTGCGGAGGGTAAGGCTACTTATGCTGTAGGTACGAGGACCTGAGTTCGTCAGCCACCACCCTGCCCATGTGGCAGCCTGTGCCTCTAACCCCAGCACTGTATGAGGTAGAAACAGGAGGATGACTGGGGCTTGCTGGCCACCAGCCTAACTCTAGCTTCCAGACTAAGTTCAGAAGACAACAGTCAGAAAACGATAGAGCAGGACACTCACTGTCTTCCTCTCTGTGGGCACAGGCACATCACACACACACACACACACACACACACACACACACACTGTGTACACACAACACAGTGAAAGTTATAAAAAGAAACCCCAAAACGTACCATGATGAAGCATTTCCACTGAGAGAGGAAACAGAGTTTTCTAGTCTAAGTAAGATAGTCCCTTCCTCCACCCCCACCTCCAGGCTTACAACAGAAGCAGACAAGGGCACAGACAGTTCTTCAAGAAGGTGACAAGTGACAATTTCAATAAAGCATTCAACTTCTCGTTTTCAGATGCCCCCCCTTTCTCTCTCTCTCTCTGTCTCTGTGTGTGTTATGGAGGTACTGTGTGTGTACCAAAGGCCATGTAGTCAACTGTTCTACCACTGAACCACATCCCTACACTTTTACCTATTCATTAAGACACAGAAGTGGGGCTCATTGTTCAGGTCCATTGGAGGGTGAGTCTCTGGACCCACTGAGGTCATGTCAGGAAGCAAGACTTGGGAACACAGGAGTGGTGCCAAGTGTTGGGAGCAGCTCCTTCTGCTGAGGCAGAGTGTCCTCTGGGGCCTGCTTTCACTCCTGAGGTCCAGGACATCTTTCAAAATCACATTCTATAGCAATGGTCATGTTTTCTTACCCTTGGTGATGATGACTAACCTGACTCTATATGTTATTTTCTCATTTTATTTTATTGAGATGCATCCCAATTAAAAACAGCTGGCATGAGAAAGAATAGCATGACAACACACACACACACACACACACACACACACACACACACACAAAGGATCCAAATAAGAAGCACAGTGCACATAAGACAGAGGAAACCAGAGACCTCTAGATAGGACCAGAGGACCTAATTGATACCCAAAACGCATTTGCTGGTAGCTGGCAAGGCTCTGTCACTCAAATTCACCTCTAGACTAGTACTCTCAGTGTTACACATTCACCTCTCTCTTCACCTTTACACCCGCAGGGGCAGTCTTAGCTGCGATTTCCTCCTGGACCTGGAGATCCACTGTTCAGGGGACCCCGTCCCTAAAAAGTCACCTACATACACATCACCTGCATGGAGACCCGCTAGTCCCTCCTTTCCAAAGCCCCCACCTCACCCCACCCTTTTGCCTTTTCACTTTCTGGCTTAGCACTTACCCCGGCTGGAGGCTCAGCAGCGTGGTGTACTCCGCGCAGCGGCCCAGGAAGATGCTCTGGAGGTGAGGTGTAGTACCCTCCCCGCTCCATCGCGCTCCAGTAGCTCTCCACCCCAGCAGTGCCGGCAGCAAGAGGGACAGCCACAGAGACAACGCGCATCCCTGGACGGCCATCAAGGAGACTTTGACTTCCCTAACTGGTGGCCTTCTGGACTCCTCCCAGTTTCTCTTCCACCGCGGAGGCGGTTCCCTTTAGCTGAGCTTTGGCAGGACGCTCACTCAGATGCCAAGCCAGCCCACCTCCCAGCCTCTTTCGTTTCCGACAGACAATAAACTTGGGGCTTCGTCTGGCAAGACGACTCGAGGAGGGACCCCAAAGGGAATGGGAATTTGAAGGACTGAAGAGTTCCAGCAATAGGGAGAGAAAACTTTTTTGGTTCGAAACAGTAACACCCTTGGCAGTTGTCCTCTTTCCCAAAAGCTAAAGATGGGTGAATTTTGTTTGTTTTCAGGAAACAAACACGCGCATTTGCACACACACACACACACACACACACCTATAAAAATCACTTATCTGTTACCATGTGAACACTAAGCAAATTTAAATTCTGTTCCAGTTCACACAGTCCTGCCAGGAGAGACATGTGTTACCCCTTGTGAAAACTGATGACTTTGAGTAAAGCCACAGGCACAACAAGGGCACAGACAAGAATCACATGTCATTCCTAAGCTTTGAACCTTATGGAGTTTGTCTGGGTGGACTTTGGATGTGACTGACTGGTGGCGACTGTTTTGCCTTTTCTTCCTTTGTGAGGGACGGCGTCCACAAGCATCCCCTACACCTGCCCGGTTGCTTCTGCAGCACAGGACTTGCTTTCGAGTTTTCCAAGTGCACACAGATAACCTTGTCAGAGAATACAGTATGGTCAGAGCTACACTTGTAATTTAGACAGTTTAGAGGTGAGATGTTGGGACTTAAATTGATACTAAAATAAGTTCAGGACTGTGGGGACATTAGGATGGGTAAAGGGATTTGTCATGTAGGATGGATGTGAACTTTTGAAGACAATCTACTTTAGTAGATTGTATAGCTTATGTATATATACATGTCAAATATATATCCCAAAGTGCCAAACCCTGCAGGGTCTGAAACACAACTTACAGTTCACAAAAACACCAGCTACAATGGCACTGTGTTGGACCCCATGCTCCACACCCCTCTATGAGATGCAATATAGGTCAGGTGTTACCTTTGCTTCAGTGAGTTGACCACAAGAGAACCTCAACTGTTAACATACTAGGTTTTTATCCTAGAGAAATTATTCATTATTCCTGGGGCATAAGAAAACCTTTCTTACCAAATTTCTATACGCAGGTGGGATGGGGGAAGATGTAAGCGTTTATCTTTGTGTATGTATGGTATAATCATGTGTGTGTGTGTGTGTGTGTGTGTGTGTGTGTGTGTGTGTGTGCCTGTATGTGTCTGTGTTTCTGTCTCTGTCTCTCTCTGTCTCTCTCTCTCTCTTTTTCTCTGTGTGTGTGTGTGTGTGTATGTCTGTGCCTGTATGTGTCTATGTGTCTGTGTTTCTCTCTCTCTCTCTCTCTCTCTCTCTCTCTCTCTCTCTCTCTCTCTCTCTCCCTGTGTGTGTCTGTGCCTGTATGTGTCTATGTGTCTGTGTTTCTGTATCTGTCTGTCTCTCTCTCTCTCTTTGTGTGTGTGCCTGTATGTGTCTGTGTTTCTGTTTCTCTCTCTCTCTCTCTCTCTCTCTCTCTCTCTCTCTCTCTCTCTCTCCCCCCCCCTGTGTGTGCATGTGCGTGTGTGTGTGTGTGTGTGTGTGCCTGTATGTGTAACTGTGCTTCACCTGTCCAGGCATATGTGTGGGTCAGAGCCTGATGCTAAGACCTTCCTCAAGGACTTCTCTATGATATTTTTAAAGTACCTGGTCTTTCTAAACAGCCACAAACTTAAGGTTTTGTAGTTGTTCTTCAGTGAACACAAAGAAGTTGTAGTAAGCAGCTTGCTTCTTCAGGCACCAGGCTTCACTCATTTCTTGATTTCTGGTTTTAAAACACAAATGGATCTCTTACTCAACTGTTTTCTTAACTCTAATAACTTAAATTTCTCTTCTGGAAAGAAGTTAAAATTGAGCCAGAGAAGAGAGATATAGCAATATCTTTGACTTCGCTTGTTTCAAAATGTTTTCATTAGCAATATCTTCTTCAAATGTTATATAAATGTTGGAGACATAGTGACTAGGATTCACCTTTAACCCTTGCTTGCTATAGTAACAATTCTGCAGCTTTAAACTCCACTCATTAAGAAATTGCCAAAAAACCCTCATTATGATATGCCAACTTTGTTACACAAACCTCATTTTCAAAAACAATTTCCTAAAGGAGACCTTTTTCCTATGAGAAAAATGTGAATCTCATTCTGAATTCATAAGCCCTGCCTAGTACTTCCCTTTGGGAAAAACCAATGCACTGTGTTGTGTTAGAGCAGGTTAGTATAAATAATTCCAATATCTGAACCAAATGTTTCAAGAAATCAGCTCTCCAGTGATCTTCTTGACCAAGGTAAACCGTTTTCACTGTACTTTCTATGCTTCTGTGACAACCTGTGGAACATCTCTGGAAGGGAAAGCATCCCAGCAGATGACACAGTAGTTCCACACTGAACTGTCACTAGCCATTTCTAGCATATTGTTAGCTAACCTCTATGTTCTCAGTGAGACTTGCTGCTCCATCTTTTGTGATCATTTATAAATTTCTAGCTGAATGTATATTGACCACATATATGCTTTTCTAATGTTTTAAAAGTATGTAAAGACTCAGATGTGAGGTTAAATTTCAAAAGCACAAACATCTTCCATAAAATATCTTCTCAACACACATATCTGACATAAACTTTAAAAGTGTTGTGTGGCTTCCCTTGTTGGTATTTTTATCAAGCTAGATTGTAAAATCTACCCTGGGCTATAACTGAATAGTAAGCACAATTTCTAATGATTCTGCAATACTATAGATTGGAAGAACTACTATGCTATCCTTAAGTTGTGTTTTCAGTTTCTCTGCTGACTCATCACCAGAAATTGTCCACACCAGAGCCAAACATGCTGGGACAATTCCTTCAGCATCTGTGTAAGACATTCAGGGCTCCTTGCTATCAGAAGGACAACCACGTTGATAGTTTTATGTCTTTTTTCTTTCTTTGAAAACATTCAATTGTCTCACCTTTAAGTACATCACTCTAAGTTTCTGAGTGCCCCTTTATTTTGGAAAGTTTTACATTGCCATTTGCAAGAATGTTATTATACACGATACTTGGGTGTCTTTTATTCGCAAAGGCTTCTGCACATTTGATAAAGCCATATTTTAAGTAATCTTCATTGTTAGGCTTTATGTTCACTTTTTTCTTTCTGAAATGTGGCTCAACTGAAGTTGAAGCTACCAAATTAGGAACAGTATTCTCCATTAGTGTCAGCATTAACACTCACAGATCCAAAAGTTGAACTTAAATGTGTGTCTAACCTTTCTCTTTGAAAAAAAAAAAGACTCATTTTAAAAGTAATTCTTCCATTTTAATTGAAATACCATAGTTGCTACTAATAAAAATTAACAAAAAGAGCCTAAATAACAGTTCCAAAAATGCACTTAGGGTCTTCAACTAATCTGTTGGAAACCACAGACTTCACCTCTATTTGCAAGTCATGGTTGTTGTCTTCTGTCTGCCTCGAGAACGAAGAGACCTGGGACACAAATATGTTCCACTAGGCTCTGGTCTGTCAGGGAATGCCCAAAGTGTTACAGCTCTTAAAAGAGAGACAAGAAGGTTTGGGCAGCCTGCTCAGGGCAGGTAGTCGAGGTCCTGGCCTCTCATCAGCTACGCCGAAGCACCAACTCCAGAGGCAGGGGCAGCTGGGGCAGCTGGGGCAGCTGGGGCAGCTGGGGCAGCTGGGGCAGCTAGGGCATGAACCTGGCCAGTCAGGCATGTCTAAGGTCATCAATGAATGCTTCAGATGAGAGAACTCTTCCCTAAGTGTTACAGCTTAGTAAAAACAGCCACTCTGAAATGGTCCTCTGTCAAATAACTTGTGTGCTTTGTTCCATGTGGTCAGAGACTATATAAACATTGAGGGGTGGGGTGGGATTTAGAAGTAGGTGTTTCCTATTGGCTCTGAGATACAGCGTGATTCTCTGTTTGCATGGGGATGGACTCCAGGTGTTGCCTATGTGACTGACAGCCTGATCCTCTCAGTGGGGTGTCCTGGTTACTGTGTCCAGAGCAGGTACAGAATGGATAGGTTGTGGCTGGACTCCTGCTGCTCTCAAGTCTCTGAGATTCCAGGGATCAAGCTCACTCAACCTTACCAGTTCTTCTGTCTAGTGGCACATTCTACTTGTCCCACAACTCTTCCTTTTTGTTTTTATAAATGAGAGATGTCATTGGAGTAACTATCTCCTGTATTGGAAATGGTTTGGTATTGAGCCTGATTAGTAGTGATCTTTGCAATGATACTTATATGCAGTTTTAGAAATTGGATAAGACAGGGTGCCAGGAGAAGCAGGGCTCCAATGGCTAGTATGGGACCAAGGAGGGGAAGAAGTCAAGCTACCAAGCAGTTTAAGTACTGTGGGTAGCCTAGTGTGACCAAAGATCTCCCTTAAGATCTTTGAGCATGTGTATGTCTTGTTCTATCAGCCCAGATTCATTGACATAGAAGCAACATTCCTTCCCCAGAAAAATGCAAGCCCCTCTCTGTTCAGCAGTCAGTAAGTTCAAGGACTCAGGTTTTGGAGAACAACTCTTGCTAATGAGGCGACCTGGTGTTGAAGGGACTCAAGACTGTCTACAGTAGAGGCCATTGCCTGGTCAAGTTTGTCCTGGAAGTCATTGGCCAGATGGTGTGTTTGGACGAGGTCTGCTCCAGTGGTTCCTGTCACATCCAGTGAGACAGTAAGACCTAGAGGGATGAAGATCTTTCTCTTCTTTCCGTTTCCTCCCAGTTGTAAGGTGAGTTCTTCAGGTTTGTAGAGATAAACCTGGGTCACAATCAATATGGTGGTGTAGGAACCTTGAAAAGGGAAGTTTATGCAGGAACCTGTAGTGCGTCTACACCAGAGAAGATGGGGGAGGGGGTGTTTAGCACATATTGGTTTGGTAATGGATACATGCATGTAGGATGGGGTTTTGAGGAGGG